GCATTATGAATACAGAATTTTGAATTAAGAAAACAATGATGTTAGCGCCTTGTCCAACCGAGTGATTGACTGCATAATATGTAGTTCTCCATGCCAAATGTCAATCCGTTTAATGGAAACTATTTCACAACTTTTACTGGCTCTTACCTCGATAAAATTATAGTTCTTCATGCCAAAAGTCAACCCGCTAAATGGAAACTTTCCCACAACTTTTATTGGTTCTTACCTCGATAAAACGATACACCGTGGACATCAGCGTTGTTGCCATGACGACTACAATCTCGTCCCTTAGTGGAGTTTTGCAACGGCCAGAATCCAAGAGGTTCCGGTGCTCTTGCTGGAAAATAGATGCACCATTTCAGTGTAAAGAAATTATGATTATTTTTATAAAAAAATATTTGACAAAATTTGCTCCATAGGCCCCTGTAAAAGAGAACAAACAAAAGTCAGGCGCTGGGTGGGGTGGGGGTGTGCATCCCTGTGTTTTTTTTTTTTTTTGTGATAAAATATAATATAGAACTATTTACTCTGACTAAAGCATACTTGCTGTTTTGCAGATCTCAGAAAGAGTACGATATCCATGCGAAAAATGGGCACAGTTGGCAGACTCGCTGGGTATCAGTTTTGGCTAGATTAAGATTAACTGCACACTATATCAATATACATGCATATACAGTGCTTCTAAATTTGTGTATCCAAATGTTCCGGCTGAATACATGTATCTGTCCCATTTGTGATCCTAGAAGATGGACTATATTTCATTTGTCATTGTACAAAATGTCATTGGAACTGGCTTAAAACATTATTATTGAAAGCTGTACTGGTTAAACAAACTGAAAAAAGTAGGAATATGTATATAGATTGAAATACATGAAAAACAGGATGTCATGTTTTTAAAAAGGATTCTTTTCTGTATTCTGTGGATAGTTAGAAGTGTGTGTTCGAAGATATGTTATCACCCACTCGCAATTTAACTTTAAGTCACGAAATACTTCTCATGCTACATATATCTAACCATGCAGGATGTCCAGATTGTAGTGAGGAATTTTTATGCCCTAATTTCATGTTTACTTTTAGTTGTTTAGCAGTTAAACATATTATCAGAACATATTGTCAGAATCATTTACGTTAGATGAAAACCACAAATGCAATAAATCACTGGGATGTGCCGGTATTTAAATCCACATTTTGCTCTATTTTAACTCATTTGTTTCAAGCACCCCCCCCT